AAATCAATCTGATCAGTAGGTGAATTTGAATAAATGGAATTAGTAGTTAATATAAACTAATCAATAGCTGAATACATATAGGCAGTTTACAATGTTATCAGATTTAATTTAAGTTACTGAGTTGCATATTTGCTCCCACTAACCATTTTCGATGTTACAAGGAGAAAACCCCGAAAACTGATTGGAATTATTCAGAATTGAGTGTACTTTTCACTTTTTTTTTTACATATTTACGTTTAATTGGTAACAAACGATGAGTAAAATCTAACTTGAGACAAATTTAATAAATACTACTTGAGTATTTGAGAATAAGTACTAACTAATGTAAGTAGTATGAAATTAGTCGGTATTCTATTGGAGAATTGAACTGATTTCAACCATAGTTAACTACTTTTATATTTTAGTACAGAAATCAATTGAAGAACTTCATGTTTACTCAAATCAATTCATATAGTGATATCTAAAGAAATACAATTAAATCTTACTATTGAATGAGTATTAAACTAGAATGATATTCACTTTCAACAACTGATTAAATAATATAGATAAGTTTCAATGTACAATACATAATTTGAAGGTCATACTTATCATAAACTGATATTATCTTGAGAATTTATAGTGAAAATCCCCATTTTGCCATTTAGTAAATAAAGAAGGAACGAATTAAGTGAAGAAATTTCTTTTCAATTAATTTTTCATCATGACTCTACACTAATATATATATATGATTTACAATAATGATATAATACTCATCGAGTGGATACGTTACGTAATAATTACATAATGACATTTAAGTTAACATTGAGTAATTAGAAGAAAGAGGATTATTAATAATCAAAGTAATTATTCGAAACTCAAGAGGTTGCTACGTTGCGTAAAATATGAAAAGAGAAGGAACAGAATTTTTTAATGGATGGTCAATAGAATAGTAGTTATGTAAGAATCAAGAGATGAATGTTGAGAAGTTGTAAAGTTCAAAAGCAACAGAAATAAAATTACAAAAGTTAAAAAACAAAAAAACAAAACAACTGGAAGAAGTATGAAAAATAGTTCTTTTGGAGGAAATCTTATACTGATGGCCAGGGCAGAGAAAGTGGTTGTACGAATCTCTTTTGAATTCAAAATAGGATTGAAAAGAAATTTCTTCGCTCATTTCGTTCGTTCTCTATTTTGAGAATTAATTAAATTCAAAAAGAAAAATAAAAGATTAAGAATATTATTTCTTTTGCAATTCGAATGTTCCTTACATTATTACCTAAGTAATACATAGAAATTATACAAAATGATGTATTTATATTTCATTTATAACGAATACGGAATTTGGATATATATTTATGTACTTTGTAATTACTGTCTGAGTTATGAACTTTTAAATAAGAATTATACTTATATATATGTACTGATTCATTAGTTGCCCAAACAAAGTATGACTAAACCATGTTCATTCATTCATTATTTTGATGTATCATTTGCAAGATTAAACAAAGTTATGAAGAAATATATCTATCAAAAAGAAGAATAAATATACATAGTGTACTGCATAAAGAGTTATTGTATGTAGTAATACATATATATAATAAATTAATTAAGATTAATCGAATAGAACAAATCACCAACTGATATTGTTAATTAAATATACAATAATAATACTAATAATGATAGTAATAATAATTAATTTGACACATTCAGTTTTTCGTTTAATGTGGAAAACATTATTGCGATTATCCTTAGTTATATGTTTATAATAACATTGATTAAACACATCTATTTATGACTCATTTATGTTTTAAATGTATGAAATGTATGAAATTATGGTTTCTATAAGTCATCATTGACTTAATGACCTGATATGTATATCTTCATTTGTGCTAATTTGTTTAAATCAACTGTATAATAGAATTATTAGCTAAACATTTCAAATTTCATTCATCAACCAAGTCAAAAAGATATACATATATACCTATTCCAATGCTTGCCCATCTCATGTATGTGCTTTTTTCTTAGTATAAATCCATTCACCATAAAGTGTTCACCTCTTCTATAAATAAAAATAAGAATGATAGGTTCTGTAAATGATAAAGTCAGTGTTAAAAAGATAAAATATATACACATTTATACATACGGACATGGATACATATGAGATAATTTTATGAAATGAAGATGTGAAACGATAATAATAATAAATATTACCATAGCTACTAAGTGTAGTACAGTTTTATGAAGAGTTTCAATAAGGCTTTATTTATTTATTTAGTTAGTTGATTAGTTAGTTTTTAACACCTGTCGAAGTATGTTTTATGTGAGATTTGCATTTTGTTCAGTTGAAGATTGTTGTTGTTTGCTTTTTTTCTTCTTTCCTATTTTCATTTTGGCTTAATACTTTAAATGCCTACCTGTAATTAATTTGCCCATTTCTTCTTTGTAATGTTACAGTTTTGTTTTATTTTGTATATATTTAAAATGAATATCGATGGAGAGACGTTTTTGTATAAAACAAAAAAAAAAGCAAACTGTATTCTTAATAATTTACTAAGGAGATGATGAATTGATGATAAGTAAGTGGTACTCATATACTAAGGCAATAAATATAAGCGAATAATTATGTTTGGTCCTAGTAACCAGCATAGAAAACAGTCCAAACATACATGCATGTATGAATGTATGAATGCGCAAAAATGGTAGATTATTGATAAACAAACCAGAGAATAAATGAATATAATGTAATCAATTAATTGATAGTAAGTAAATAAGTTGTATATAATCAGAAAGGTAATTCACCTCCAAAAAATCCAGTGACCCATCCTATATGTGTATGAATTTAATTTGCTTAGATATTGAAGATTAAATTAATGTGTGATCATTCTAATATTTATTATCAGTGAGGTAGGGTTTCGCTAGAATTAAAGTTGCTTTCCGACAATTTCAACAACTTGGTAATAAAAAAATATTATCAGTATAGGGTTCTGTAGGTTGTTGAGATCATGAGTCGATCCATGTCAGACCATCACTGAAAACCTAGAGGCACTAAACGACCATTTTGTTCTAGTATGGGCACAAGCTGAATACACAGAAGTAAACAAGCAGGTGGAGAGGAGCATCAGAACCGACAAACATAAGTATGTGGAAGATCTAGTAATGACGGCGGAAAAGGCTGCAAGAGAAGGAAACATGAGGAGACTGTATGACACGACAAAGAAACTCTCTGAAAATCACCGTAAACAAGAGCGACCAGTGAAAAGCAAGGATGGCAAAGTAGTCACCAACATCGAAAACCAGAGAAACAGGTGGGTAGGACACTTCAAAGAACTTTTGAATCGACCAGCTCCACTGAACCCACCCAACATCGAAGAAGCACCCTCGAAACTCCCAATCGATGTCGGCCCACTAGCGATTGAAGAGATCAGCATGGCCATCAGACGAATCAAGAGTGGCAGAGCAGCAGAACCAGACAACATTCCAGCAGAGGCACTGAAAGTAGACGTAGCAGTAACTGAAAGGATACTCCACATTCTCTTCAATAAGATTTGGGATGAGAAACAAGTACCAAAAGACTGGAAAGAAGGACACATCATCAAAATACCAAAGACAGGCAATTTCAGCAAGTGCAATAACTACAAGGGCATCACTCTTCTCCCAATACCAGGAAAAGTCTTCAACAGGGTATTGTTAAACAGGATGAAGGACTGCGTAGACGCCCAACTTCGAGACCAACAGGCAGGATTCCGTAAGGATCGATCGTGTACAGACCAAATCGCAACACTACGGATCACTGTGGAACAATCAATTGAATGGAATTCATCACTCTACATCAACTTCATTGACTACTAGAAAGCATTTAATAGCGTAGACAGGACAACACTATGGAAGCTTCTTCGACACTACGGTGTGCCTCAGAGGATAGTCAATATCATGCGGAATTCCTATGATGGATCACACTGCAAAATCGTGCATGGAGGACAATTGACAGACTCGTTCGACGTAAAGACCGGTGTCAGGCAAGGTTGCTTACTCTCACCCTTTCTCTTTCTCCTGGTGATCGACTGGTTCATGAAGACGTCAACATCTGAGGGAAGCATGGGATACAGTGGACAGCTAGGATTCAGCTGGACGATCTATGCATCGCAGATGATCTGGCTCTTCTATCGCACACGCAACAGCAAATGCAAGAGAAGACGACCAGTGTAGCCACAGCCTCAGCAGCAGTAGGTCTCAACATACATAAAGGAAAAAGCAAGATTCTCCTATACAACACACCATTCCCCAATCGAATCACACTTAACGGAGGAGATTTAGAAGATGTAAACAAACGAGATTCCAGTGGAGGAAGAAATCAGGAAGAAGCGCTGGAAGTGGATAGGACACACATCCAACTGCATCACAAGGCAAGTCCTCATATGGAGTCCTCAAGGCCAAAGGAGAAGAGGAAGACCAAAGAACACATTAGGCGCAGAAATTGAGACAGATATGTGAAGAATGAACAAAAATTGGACAGATCTGGAAAGGAAGGCCTAGGACAGAGTGGATTGAAGAATTCATAATGATTTTCAGTAAAATGATACACTAATTTTTCGATTTTTTTCAAATAATAAAGTCGTTTACTCTATATAAAATATTTACAATTAGTTAAAATCAGATATAGGGTTTTATAGAGATTGTAGTAATTTAATAGTTGAATTCATGATCATCATGGAAAACCTGGAAGTATTCGATAATTTTCTATAGTGATCTAGTTTTAATCAACTCATGAATTCAACTATTAAATTAGTTAATCTTTATAATTAAGTTCTATATTTCATTAAATATAAATCAATCAATAATTAATCCAACCTAGATCAATTGTCTATAAACTAAATCAGATGACCTTGTTTTAACCAACCATAATAATTTAAACTAGTAAATTATTAAATTTGAACAAAACAAACAAACAAAATTAATCAATTAAAACATTCGATTTAAAATTATTAATTTAACTATATTTTAAATGTATATTTTATACATGACATGAACCTAATTAAAACAATTATGTCTAATTCAATGATCGGTTTATATATCTTAATAATCAAATAACATAATAATAATAAATGATGTATAATTTTATTCAATATTTCTTTTTAATATTTTATAATTTCATTTATATTTCAACTGTATTATCATATCAAAATATAGAAACAAAATGGATACCATTAATTGGGAATTGGATAATTTCTAATCAAACTATATCAAAACAAATTTATACAAAATTTGGTATAGATAGTTATAGTACACAATGGATAATTGATAATAATAATAATAATAATAATAATCCTTTTATTGATGATAATGATGTAAAATTAAGATGGATAGCATATGATAATTGGACATTTACTAAAATTTTTATCATTGAACAATTCAATTTCAATAATACTATAGAATTATATATAGATGGTATAGATACATTTTGTGAGATCATTTTAAATAATCATTTATTAGAAGTTACAGAGAATAGTTTTTTATCATATACATGGAAAATTAATCATTTATTAAACTTAAAACGAATAAATATATTAGAAATAAAATGTATATCAACTGTATTAATGGCAAAGAAAAAAGCGGAACTAATGAAAGTTAGAAAAAAATCGATTCCACCACCATTTTGTTGGCCATCTAGATTTCATGGTGAATGTCATGTAAATCTTGTTAGGACAACACAATCAATATTTGGTTGGGATTGGGGATTAACTTTACCTATTCAAGGATTATGGACATTACCTCAGTTGGTGGTTTCACCTTCAGGTTTAAGATTCGGTGAAAGATTTAAATTCTATGCTTATTCACAACATGATCAATTTAAATTATGGAGTGCTGAAATTGATGTAGAAATTGTAGTCAATATGCCGTCATACAATCGTCTATCAAAAGCATGTATCTATTCATATATCGAAGAATTAAATGTATTTGGAAGAAAGTGTTTTGGAATGGAAAATGAAATGATCACTATGGAGGTGTTACGTAATCAATCAAAAGTTAAATTATGGTGGCCTATTGGTACGGAGACTGGACCATATCTTTATACATTAGTACTCTACTTAACAGTTGGTTCCAACAAGATTGTCGATAAAAAAGAATATTCAATAGGTTTTCGTGAAGTGGAGTTAATTGAGGTATGTTTTTATTTACGATTTGTGTATGATGACTGAATTATTCAATCAAAGTTGATTTATCAGTATAGGGTTGTGGAGATTATCGAGTTTTAATTAAGACCATGAACCAATCCATGTTAAACCACCACTGAAAACCCAGAAGTACTTGATGGCTGTTTCATTCTAGTACGAGACTCCTCAACAGTGCGCATCTACGACCCCTCACACGGGACTCGAACCCAGTGCTTTAGGTCTTGCTCGACAATGTCCAACCTCTTATTTTGCGAGTCGGTTTGAAGAAGCAAAGACAGCTATAGTACTAGACGGCTTCAACTGATGGGATTTAAAAAGAACAAAATCATTTGATTGTTACGCATCATCAACTAGTCAGAAAATCACTAATAACTAAAAACTTTCTACAGTCTAGATAATCGTAAGTCAATAGTATAATAACTATTTTTAGTCCCCAACCCCTGTACTACTAAGCTATGGATATTTCTTTCATATCTAATGTGAAAGAGCTGCCTTTTTATTATACTACTACGTGGAATAATTTGTAAGCCAAATCGATTGAGTCAACTGAGGAAATCGATTCGCATACTAAGCTCGAGAGCCAGCTTTATACGTACCGATAACTCAGTAGATAAAGAAGTGAATAAAATGTGGCATATTATTATTCATAATGGTTACTTAACTAAGGTCAGTCTGTGATGTGATCTATAAGATCGAATTATCTCCACAAATCTCTCGTACGCGAGGAAATAATCCGAAGGATATAGAAAATTAAGCAAGTGTAATAACGGAGGCTTATGATATAAAATCATAATATTACTGTTTAAATTAAGGAAAGTAATAAAACGCATTATACAGAGGTAATACTAATTCATGGAACTAAATGAGTGATTTATATACTGCGAATAACTCATCAGGGCAATGAGAATGTTTGTGAATGAATATCTGCGAATTAAATGTATCTTTTGCTTTTAAATTCACTAACCGATTATTGGTTAGTAAGTAGTTACGTTTTGTATAGGCTTTGATATTAGTTGAACTCTACCAATGACGTTTACGATGTAGTGGATAAACTAAGTGGCTTGAAACGGTGTTGAACATTTTTCGATGTTTAACGGTTGAAGGGGATCAGCAAGAAATCTGAAGCGCAGTTTCCATGCTAGTTGATACTCATTACAAAAGTGTTTTTAAGATCTTGAAGAATTTGATAGTTTTTCAGTAACTACAAAGAGAGTTGCAGCAGTTCCAATTCATAGGTGTTACCGCAGCTCAATTTTTCAAGAAGCCGATTGTTGATCGAATAGATTATTAGTACGGTAGATATGTCTGTGACATATTAATCTAAACGAAGTCTTATAACTGTATTCTACTTCTTCAGGATACTATTCAGTGTGTTTACTTCTGAGGTACACATCACCTAACTTATATTTAAATGTTGTGAGTATGTTGGGTATCTTTCAGTTGTTTACAACTTTAAAGAAGAATTCAGAAAATGTAGAGTTGGTAAAGAAATTAGTGTTTTTATTATTCTGAATAAACATTACACTACGTATATGTATACCTTTATCGTAACAGGAGTTCGAAATAATAAAACCATACATTAATAAAACGAAAAATTATGGGTTTTGAAGTCAGGAGTATAGTATATATGGAGTACAGCTTTTACAATTAAAAACAACTAGAATTGGAAAGGGTAAATTGTGAAATGAATGAAGTAATCATCATTCACACGTGAATCGTCAGAAACAGTAGTACAACTATGCACTATAATTTAATCAATGTTATTACCTACGGTCAGTATTTGATATCCCATTGTTCTATTAACTCAAGTATAATTTCAGAGTTCAGCTACTATCGTGCGTCCCATTTAAACTTTCGAATGACGTTCGACTACGTAAACTATGTGTTTAATCCGCGAAACTTTAATTATTTAAATACGTAAATATTGGTAGTGGGAAACTGGTTAGTGGGAAACTACCAGGCACTATTTCATAGATAAATGAAAATTAAAAAGCGATCATTACTAGACTTCGAATCGGAACTTGTTGATACTATAATAATTATAAGTCATCAATTTGCACCAGTCTGATCTTAGAAAAGTATAATTTACGAATTCTTGTTGATACACATAGTTTTAGTTCATGTATCAGTGTTGATCTATCTATCATACATTGTAATCCTTATTATCAAATCCTGGATATAATAACTGAAGTGATTTTCTCATGCATTATTAAATAATTAAAAAATAACTAGCCATATTTTTCAAATAGATTAGTTTTAAAACTGTATGAAATAAAATTTAAGGTAATTAAAATCTGTTCTTAATTGACAGGGAGCATTTGGATTTGAATCCCTTGGCTACTTATGAGTAGTTAAAGACCAAATATAAATAAAAAGGCGTGTAAAGGAATCACCAAAACAATGTTTAAATGGGTCGGTAGCAGTAGATTAGTAATTTTACGCAAACTTATCTCTGAAATAGAAAGAGTTTTCACGGTGACCAACTGCGCTGACTGTATTCGATCGGTTCTGCGTATAAATGCGATCTTTATGAATGAAATTAGGGTTAAGAGAATATTTACATTGTTGGAGGTGTGACATTTACTTAACTCGTGTTAAATTACTAAATTACTATTCATACAGGGAATGATTACATAGTATAGAAATATTGACAGATTTTACTCTATCGATTAAATAAACATTTATTTATTTAGTGTAATTGACAATCCGTGTACTACTCTGTAAGGTTGCATGAAAATGTATGAAAACAATTGGGTGTTAGCGCTCATGTAAAGTGAAGATTAGATTAAAAGGTTTTAGAATAACTATGAACTCCTGGTTAACATGCATTAAACAGCTAACCGAAGACATCGGTATGTCTAAAACGAAGCGGTGAACTCTAAACTTGTGCTACAACCTCACTACTTTGTGCCTTGAGATTAATGTGATCCATGGATTTCTACGAAATCAGTTGTAGAGTTTCTTTTTTTGTTAAGTATGTTTATCTAATTTATCCACTTCTTATTTCCACAGTAACTACCTGATGTTTGTATTCACTTTCTACTTTCTTATGCTATTTTAATATAGTAATTTAGCACTATGATTCGTGAATGTTATATATAGGCCAGTATAAAGTTTTTTGCTTTTGATATTGCAAAGAATGAGTTCATTTATAATTACAAAAAATAAAACAATATAATGAGTTTACATTTTATATTGTATAATTTTAGGATTATGTGGATTCATCACACATTGAATTAGGTCGAACATTTTATTTTAAAATTAATGGTTTGCCAATATTCATAACAGGTGCTAATTGGATACCTGCAAGATATATGCCAGGTAGACAGTATATTTTAATGCATAATGTAACGAATGATCGCATTTGGTTAGAAAAACGACTTCTTCGTTCAGCAAGTCTATCAGGAATTAATCTAATAAGAATATGGGGAGGTGGACGTTATGAAGATGATGAATTTTACAAAGAAGCAGATAGGCTTGGTTTGATGATATGGCATGATATGATGTTTGCAGTAGCTACTTATCCAGATAAAGAAAGGTGAATTTTTTTAGAAATCAATGAAAGACGCAATTAACTATTAAATAATTAGTTTCTTGGTTGTCTAATCGTGATCCATATGTGATGCAATCTAAAAAATTCACAAATCTTCATAAGACTCTATCCTATTGATAATAATGTGGTCACAACTAACCAATTTAGAGAGCTGATTCCCTAAGTTCTGATTAGAAACTATGATTAACAAAGTTCAACCACAGTGGGTGTGAGATAGTTATTCCATAAAGATAATGGATGATAGTTGCCTAATATTGCTAATTTACTGAAGTTAGATATATACACTCTTATATACCGGCTCAGTAGTCTAGAAGTTAAGCTCTCTCCACGAGATTCGAAAGTTCCAGGCTCGATGTAGTTGTTCACTGAGGACGGATCCCATACTAAAACCAAACAACTATCTAGTGCCCCTTGGTCTTCAGTAGTCATCTAACTAATACCAGTTCTATATCTAGTAAATTTTGAACAACATCAATTTAGCTGACATTACATTTTGGTTATTAATATTCATTTATTGTTCTGATAAAAACCTTCTTTCTTTTAATTATTCTCATTATTAAAACGTTTGAACCTTTTGGAATTGTTTGTAGTGGCTAGCGGGAGTCAGAAAGTATTCAGGGGGATATTTTATATTGTTATTGATTCACTTCAAGGTAGATATAGTTAAAAAAAGAACACCACTGAATAATGTTCTCTGTGTGAATAAAGTTTTTTTGATGGTTCCGTAAATTTTTACTCATCATCATTTGATTTTCTACTGTCTGATGAAAATTGGATCAGAAGTGATCGAGTCATGAATTGTTTCTAAGTAATATTGATTGATAGCTTATTGGATATTAGTATCATTTAGTGAAATCGATAGATGAACACAACCGAATTAGGTTGTTAATGAATATAAATCAATATATGTTGTAGATAATTTTCAAAAAAACTGATAAGATTAAATGATGCCTAATGTCATTTCCTGCTAATAGAAGCCAATATTTTTGAAGATTAAATAATAGTTGAGATGAACAGGATATGTATTTGATTATTATCAAAGATTCAGTGTATAAAACTTTAATTCTAACAAATTTGAACAACACATATAAGCGAACAATTGTTTTCAATTAGATCGTCATCAGGCTTTACTCTAATCTACATGAATATTTAGACAAAAATGTTATACCAATCAAGTCTGTAAAAAATATCAATTTGAATTTAACCTACTCTTATAACTATCGAGTTGTAAACTGTTTATAGGTAGTAATTCCTTTTTGTATTGGTTGTATTGATTGAGTCTTCCCATTGATGTTTAGGACTGAAGTTGATTAATCTTATATTGGTATCCTTTGCGGATTTCCTCGATATTGCCTGAAATCACAATGATTCTAAGCAGAGTTGGGTAGAGGGAACAACAACTTTGGGATGGAGGCACATCCGGCTGATGAGTCCTAAATAGGACGAAACACTCGCCATGGATTACACTGCTAGTCACCATCCATCTCTGTTTATATGTAATTTTAAAAATGGTAATTATTTGGTTGAATAGAAATGTACATTTCTTTTCTATGTGACTTTTTTTCTATTAGAAATGATACTGTTGAAAAAGAAATCAGAAGGCAAATATCACGATTACACTATCATCCATCTATTATAGTTTGGTCGACAGATAATGAAGTGAAACAAGCTATTGCAAATGGTTGGTATGGTCCACCGATGGATTTAACATTATTAGGTATATTTAAATCTAGATTTGTCGAGTCAATATTTAATGTGATCAATGACGAAGAGAATGGTCGAGGTTCAGCCAGACGTTGGGAAGCTTCAAAATATAAACCTAGAAGATGTCTTATCTCTTCACCTGGTAATGGATATCTAACAGAGAAATTCAAAGGATTGGATCCGGACCCAGATGTAGGTAGTACCATGAATTTAGTTAACAAATAGTATTTACAATTTACAATAAAGTTTACGATATTTGGCTTGATATCAGGTTTATACACGTAACTGTTTATAATAAAACAGGCAAATGTACCAACAGTATGAATGGTATTTTAGCTTAATTCACTCTAGGCATCATACCCGGCACAACTTTACGAAAAAAAGAGTTTGACACATTTTCAAAATTATTTAGAGGGATAAGTATAACTAGATTTGATAAAAATGAACGATTTCAAGTTTTTCCGAAGGTTAGTTGACTGAAGTTGGAAAGCATTACTAGGTAAAAGTATTACCAGAATCACATACCCCAACCACACATGATAAAGATTTATGAAATCTTTAATTCTAAATATTATATTACTAGTATTGACATTTAGTGTAACACCAAACTTTTAATCTTTAACTGGATCCGAAACAAATTTGTGAATTAGTTACAATGCTAACTTACATTCACATACAATATACTAAACCATTCTGGTTTCTTATTTCATTGAAGTGTAAAGTACCTTTATAGTAATCAAGTTATTTAACGTTGATAGTCTGAATTGAATAAGGGTCGATTTAAAACCAAGTATATTATATCCTGGAACTATACAGATATTATAAAAGGAGGAAAGGATACTCTGTAGGTACTTTTCACAGAGATTTCGCCAAAATTTTATTTATTTTTGGTGTTTGTATATGATGAATAAAATCTTGATAATAGGTGTCCTGGTGAATTCATCGAGAAATGAGTCACTTATCGTTCGGTATGGCGATGCTGTTAAAAAGATGTAAACTAATCGGATCGGACTATCAGAAAAAACTACTATAACTTTTTATCTGCAACCAGGTATAAACTATTTGATTGATTGATGTTGAGATTATAGAAGATAACGTCATTTTCATTCTTCCTCCAGTTTATATCAATAACGAATTAGATGTTCATACTAAATCAGTCTCCTCAAATCTGGTGCATTATATTAAATTTTCCAAGATAGTTGTAATGACAAGCCATAATCTGTGAGATCAATTAAATTGGGATTGAAAACAAATATATATTCCAACTACATCAGATGTTATTTAATCGAGCCTCTATGTTTATGGTGGAGTACTGACTAAAATTGAGTTGACAGTAGTATTAGATCGATTTACGAGTCATAAATTTTTATTCTTAGTATTTTCCCAGACATAGATTACAAAGGTGAATTTAAGGTAGTTTGATTAGTTGCTGATCATTCAGATGTTGGATACTTCCTTGTACTCAACCTATGTTTCACGAATTGATTTCAACTGATAGATGACATAGCAGTGAATGAACACTCAGGAGGGGAAGACCAATATCTTTACAAAATATAAAAACCCTACATTAAATACTTCATTTGCACATTTTCTATCAATTATCTCTTAAAAACTTCGTCGTTCTTTCATTCCTATTGTTATTACGATTACTCTCTGTTTACATTCCTTTTCTTTCCAACTTGATCTTCTTAACCTTCTGTTACCGGGCACTCCACTTTTGATTAATTTTACATACTACTTATTCCTGTCAATATATGTAGCATTCACCATAGTATGATCAAACTATAAGTTAGTGAAAACTTTTCAAACTATACCATAGCGTGTGAGATATTTGATTTTAACTTCAGATGTTCACTGTCTAGTCAGTTAACATAAATAGTTTGTTGTTTACTCGTTTGTATAGATTCATAATCAACACTTTTAGTAACCAATCAATTATTTGAAGTCAATAATAATAATAATTTTATTGATTAAAATTCAGTAAGAGAGAACAGTGAAGTTTCATTTGAAAGTTCATTAATTGGCGACTCGTAAGAAAGACCAGAGGTTATTTTATCATTGTTCATTGGTGAGATTTCTTAAGAAAAATAAGACAAGTATCACAACTGTTAGTACGTAATGATCACTGTTATATATATATATATATATATATATATATATATATATATATATATATATATATATATATATATATATATATATATATATATATATATATATATATATTCGGTCTGTACTGCTAAAACGGGATTATGCAGACCATTTACAATCTAGTGACTAATACAAGAGATTATGAAATCGGTTTAGAACGACGAAAGTATGGCAATCATTGCTGTTCTATTTAGTATGAAAGATAGTCATTGTATGAATATCGATGTTTAATTCTACGCAATACAAAATGATTAGTTTAACACTTACATAACTATAATTTTGTAGAATTCAAATAATGTGGATTGATGACGGAATATACACAAACAATTTTGATAGTTAACTCTACTGACGACTCTTAAACTAGACTAAATAACACAGTACTAGGATTTCATCAGACGTTGAAACAATGTCTTTGATTTCACCAACTGGAATATTTTAGCATTTGGAATTACGTTACTTGACTGACTTGTCAGTGTATTTCAAATTTTAAATATAGACATGTGAAGATTATTGAGTTTCATTGAAGTTGTGAACCGATCAGTATTGGACCACCGTTGAAAACCAGGAACTCATGTATGACCGTTTCATTCTGGTGTAGGATTCCCTAGCAGTGCGAAATCATGATTCCACACGCGGGAATCAAACCTAGAACCAGGAACTTCGGTCTCGCGCGTAAGCACTGAACCTCTAGATCACTGAGCCGGGACCTAGAGGTGTTCATGTTTAACTTCAATCAATCCACAATATTACGCGATGATCTTCCACTGTATTTGGTGGAATATTTGTGAACACATATAGATAAATTTGAGTATTTTTATTATTCTGCAGAACCCACTATATGGTGATATACATTATTACACGTATTCTGGTGATTTATGGTCAGAATCTAATTATGTACTGGGACGTTTTATATCAGAATTCGGCATACAATCTATTCCATCTCCATTAGCTTGGGCCAGATCAATTTCAAATATATCGAATCCAAAACAATGGGATGTATTCGGTTCACTGATGGACCATAGACAACATCATCAATTAGGTCATCAAATGCTCAGATTAGCGCTTGAGTATATCACGGAACCAGCAAATAGACAAGATCCGATTCGTAATTACAGTCGGTAAGATGAATATTGAATTAATTTGTGTTTCACAGTTTGTTCAAAAGTGTATGTATAATTATATGAATCCTGTACAGTAGGGATTATCGAGTCAATTAGTATAAAGATTAACGAGCAATAAGCTCTAAAGAGAACAAGTAAACTTTAGTCAACTAAATATGTTATTTGCTGAGTTAATCCAATTTGTTGACCTAATTTATGCTAGAATGGGGTAATCTGTTATTTTTTTTATGTCCCTTCAAAATAGAACATATTATTACTGATTACAATTACTTTTCTTGCCTATATATATTGGTTAAAAGGGCTAACTGAAAATATCTTCATTTATATCTTTGAATGAAAAAAAGGCTATAGGTTGGTTAATTATTAGTATTAAATGAAGCTAAGTCAATAGTTATTGATAATAATATGTAATTAAGAATTTATTATATTCTGTTTTTACACTTCTATGTAGTATACATTTATGATCGTTTCTAAAGATCAAATCTACGATTCAAAAACCAATTTAAGTTGTTATGAATCAAGGTTATCATGTTAAATTTTTCAGTGTTAAACAAGAGTTTTGTCAGATTAATACTAATTTGATCATGTATACTTGTTTAGATAATAATCACTTTAGTATTTAATTGAGATCATAAACCGATTGATGTTTGACCACCACTGAAAAACTGGAAGCATTGGACGGCCGTTTCGTCCTAGTATTGGACTCCTTAGCAGTGCACACCCACGATTTCGCTCGCAGGATTCAAACCCATAGATTTCAGACTCGTGCGCGAATGCTTAACCTACTGGACCACTGAGCCAGTATCCAATGGTGTTAATGTCTAATCTCAACTAATTCACGAAATTGCACGACCATCTTCCATTGTACTGAGGTAGATACTTGTCTCTACCCGACATGGACTAACTCCACTGGTCATGACTTGTCGCTAAAACTCCGAGAATTCCCTCACGAATCTAGTCACTAGTGATAATTATCAGTATAGGGGTTGTGGAGATTATTAGGTTTTTGATTATTTATTTATTTTAATACATAGATATTGGTAAAAGGATGCGCCAAACAGATATGCGCCACACAAATCCCATTTGATATGTGTGAGGGCTGTGATACTGCCAGGGTGCCCAAACCGGAGCAGGTAGTTTTCTTAGGGGGCCACACTTGCAGTCTTCGACCCAAAGGTATGATCCACAAAGCAGTGAAGCAACGTAAGGAGATGCAGTCCCATGGAAGCCGGTGACCAACAATTGGTTCATACGCCATTTGTTCCTTCAGGATACTGGGGCCCATGTGCACCATTGGTTTGGAATGAGGGTTTTCCAACTCCTTTAGGTGGACTCACCGTTTCCACCGGCTTAGTTAAATCGCCGGACATCCGCTTTTCGTCCCCTCAATTTCGTAAACAACAGCAATGCTGCGAGAAGGCAATGAGTAGGACTTCCCTGACAGAAGCTACATACGCGTGGTCATGTGAGAGCATTCCGAGAGGGAGAGTGGACTTCCCCCACTCTCAGCCATACCAAGGCATTTGTGGACCAGTTTTTAATTGAGATCTCTTAAGTAAATATACCGTTAATAGTTAAAATTAGCATATAATTAATAAGGAAATGATTATTATTAGTATTTATTTTAGATGGGCATATGTAAGTCAATTAAATCAACTCATGTGTTTACGTACTCAAATCAATTTATACATGAGGCATAAATGTCGATTAAAATTAACAAATTTTACAATTATATCAACTAATACATTTATTACAATGGGTACAATTTATTGGCAATTAAATGATATTTGGTCAACACCTAGTTGGTCAACTATAGATTCAGTTGGTCAATGGAAATTATCACATTATAATGCTATAAAAGAATATTATGATCTAACAAAATGGGGACGTATAGCTATACATCATAATAATGAAATAATTGAAGCTGATTGGATACCAAATACAAATAATAATAATAATAATAATAATAATTTATTTCCTATTGAATTTGAATTAATTTGTTATACAATTTGGTCATTTATACCAACATATCGTGAAATTTTAAATATTTCTATTCAACATTTCATTCAATGTCCAATAAATATATTAAATAAATCTTTAAATGATTTAAATAAATTATGTCATTTTAATTATAGAAAAGGTAGAATAATTCAAATTATTATAAGAAATAATTTACATTCTATAATATCTGATAAAAATGTATTATTATTAGATAAACCAATACAAATTAAAATATGGCCTAAAAATGCTGGAAAAACTTTACAAATTAAATCAATCAAATTATTGAATATAATGAATAATTTATTAAAAATTCAAAAAATGGCACCATTTTTAACTAATTATATTTATGAAATTATAATTGAATCGAAATCACCAGAATTATTTATTAATTTGGATATAGATCCAAGACTTGATGTAGAATTTTGGTTTTCAATAAATGGTTTTCATTTAATAAATGAAAATGAAAAAATAATACATTTATGTATATCAGGAAATAAAACAATTTCAATAGATGTATTAAAACAATATTTATGGATTGAATCACTTGCAACATTGAATATGAAAGAATTGTGACAAAAAATTTCTTTTGATAATTTACTTTTTATTATATTCTGGTTTAAAAATTATTTTTTCTTAAATGTTTTTAATTCAGCAATAGATTATATATGTTGTATGCTTTTATATATATTTTTGTAGTGGCTACTTACAAGTAGTTTGTTGATTAAAAGTAAAATGTTTTACTAGCATAGAGGTCGTGGAGATTATTAAGTTTTTGATTGAGATCATGAACCGATTGATGTTAGACCACCGTTGGAATCCTGGAAGCACTGGACGACCATTTCGTCCTATTGTCGGGTAAAGACAGGTATCTACCTCAGTACAATGGAAGATGGTCGCGCAATTTCGTGGATTGGTTGATGTTAGACACTTACCATTGGATGCCGGCTCAGTGGTCCAGTAGGTTAAGCGTTCGCGCACGAGACCGAAGGCCCTGGGTCCCGCGAGCGGGATCGTGGATGCGCACCGCTGAGGAGTCCCTTACTAGGACGAAACGGTCGTCTAGTGCTTCCAGGTTTCCAAAGATGGTGGTCTAACATCAATCGGTTCATGATCTTAGTCATAAAATGTTTTACTGAAAAATTGTTATAAAACGGAGTAGACATAATCAGACAAACAGTAATAATAGATTCTAAGAGACAATTGTCTTTTGTTATTTATAATAATCATTCTTAAAACAATGACAGATCTGACAAGATAGATTTTTTAAAAGAGTAATTCACTTGAACAGTTAACTGATGAAAACTAAATAAATAGGGTAGCCAAAATGAGAACCTGTTTAACATACGAAACACAGAGGAATCAAGTTTCACGAATAGTACACAATCACTCGAAGTCTGAGTTGAGACCCAATAAATCACTTATTATATAATACAATAATCTTGTTAAGAGATTTGAAATATATACATGTTTTATTTGGGGATGAAGAAACAATCGTAGTGATCTTTACGAAGCGATTCACCTTTCTAAACTGGTTAATATCTACGGAATGGCTTTTAATTGAAATATCGAGACATATACTACATTTTTTCCCTAAAAATATGGAGATTTTAGGAACAATCGAGTTTTGATAAAGTTGGACTAAAATATCGAATGACTTTGTCGATACCATATGAATTAAATTTATTGACTCAATTTCGGTTATGAAGTAAATAAAGATCGCCTAGAAAAGAATGAAATATATATTCCTACAAGTGGTTTTTTGCTTTAAATGTAATGTAAGAAACAAGTTTTTTTTAGTTGAATAGTCTACAACATCACTTCGTGGAGTGTATAATTGAAACATAGATGAAAGTAAATAAGTCTAATAAGCCCTAATGAAGATGAAACCCTAGTTTAACTTGTATGCAACAATTAGTGAATACGACATTCATGTACCCAAAAATAGTGTTGACAGATTTACACAAATCTCAATGACTTCACAATAAGAGGTGATGATGAGTTCCAGCAATTAAAGTTGTCAAACTAATAATTCATCAGTTCATGTGACTATGATTTTCAATGGCATATCGCAAAAACCCCCAGTAAAACATATAAATATTATGAATCAAGAGGAGAGTTGACATAGACACATATTTAAAACGTGGTCAAACTAGTTATCAATTATTCTAGAGTTTTCTTTGAATACGGTCATAACTTATTATGGAACATCTATATATATATATACTAGATTCACATTCAATATTTTATAATCATATAATACGAGGAAGTAATATACAGTGTACTCATTGCCTGATAAAGTGTAATGGATAAAGAAAATAACTGATTATTTTGATCCGCGTGAATAAGACGCTGTTTAAATTCATAGAAGTCCACATTAGTAAAATTATTCCAATAAATTTAGTGAAATGTGTTACATGAACAGTATATTAAGAAGTGCGTAACACTTAAAAAAGAGACAATGAAAAATGTTGTTAGATGATGTCTTAATATTTAACAACGTCCCTAAATTAAAATCTGATTATATTCCCCCTACCATAATGATACGTTTAGAGTTGGGTTGGATCTTTCAACTGGTTGGTATAGGTCATCAAATGATTGATAATTTAAAATTGAATTGGATATAAATGTTAGAATACTTGTTTATTGCGAATTCAGTTTCCGATGTAATGATTAATACTATGTAGATAGTTGCATTACGAGTTAAGAGTAGGTGCTTATTGAAGATGTTGTGGTTGCATGGTACTCCCCCTTGTAAACATTCAGATAAGCGTATGGGCATAAGACGAGCATGTGACGCAAATGCTTAAAGTACAACAGTTTAGATAACTGTGGTAGAAAGAATTTTAAAAAATCCAAATGAAAACACGTCACACCATTATTTAACCATTTTATGCAGAAAAAATTAAGTACAACAATAAGGAAATAATACGTACAATTGTAGTCGTTGCATCTGCTGAGAAATACTTGTTCATAATTAATATAAAATAAAATTGTGAGAAATTTGAAAACAATAATCTTAAGTTATTTTAGATGTCATTACCCCTAAAAAATATTGGATGATGTAACAGTATCAGTAATAATCCAGGAGAGGTAACAGAAATATTAATATACTGTCGATTGTACAATTAGTACAATGAGATGGAATAAAATAACACTATAAATTAGCGAAATGATCGTTGGAAATATACTGTTAAACTTTGAATCAGAAGAGAGATTTATGTAATGAAACAGAAAAGAAAAAAGAACCATAAACACCATAATGCTAGAGAATGCAAAATAACAGAATACTTTCTTCATAGATATGACAAAAACGAAAAAAAACATAGACAAAACGAACTTTTCAATTGTAGTCTTATGATGTCCATAGTGAACACAGGAAAAAAAAGCAAGTTAAGGATAGAAAGAGAACAAGACGAACAAATGTGAATACATCCTATATTTTTTGATATCCATTACAACATTTATGAACAGAGGAAATACTAGACGAATATTACGTTAAACGTTGTGTATATGTATATGAATATGGATAGTTTGCTTATCATAACCAATCTAATACCTTTACAGAATATGCTTTCTATGCAAAACCTAGTTCACCTGAGAGTTGTAATAAAATACAGTTTATAAAAAGGACCCATCATTATTGTCACATTAGATAAAAATAAAAAGAAGGAATTCAATAGAAAAAAATATGAGAATTTCGGACCGAGATTGAATTATGAAGGCGAACAAATTAACAAAACAAATCATTTTAATTCAATGCATATTTTGGAAAGCATAATCCTAAACGTGATTCAATACCACAAAATGTGGTTGTTGCATATTGATAACCGCCAATATGATCAGGATTAGTTGGAAATACTGAAGTATGACAATTAATTGGTTTACCAGAGAGTTCTCTAAAAAAACAGATTAATTTTCGAATGATGAGTAAATTTTAGGTTTATGGTAAAATCATCAATAAGAAAAAATAAAAATAGATTGAAGAACTAATTAAAAAATAATATATGGTTATCATATAAATCACATAAATCGTGCCAATCAAGATCTCAACCTTCTAACCTATTACCACATCTAACCAAATAACATTAAATTATTACGTAAGAGATGTCGAGTCACTTATACTAAAGATTACAATGTAACTTGACCAATAAAATTCTAGCAGCAAAATACGTATTGGTTACTACTAAGACTCATTGACATAAATACATCATAGAAATTATTAACAACACCGACTATTATAAATTTTTTTTGGAATATCAGTGACTCATGACCATAACCGTCATAGGGAGATCATAAAAAAATCTTCGATAATTCTCAGCGAGGTCAAAGTTCCTTAAACCATTATTTATTGATGTAACTTAATCAAAGAAGTATATTACACTACGTTACATGTGGGTTAAGTTATTAATTCTGAAATATAATACAAATGTACAGAAAAGTTTACGATTTAGCGAAATCAAAGACGAGAGAAAAAATGGACAGGAAGTATATACAGAAAGAGAAAAAGCCGATGAAATATGAAAAGTACCTTCCACCAAAATCAAAGTTGAGATATCTTTGAAGTGTTTCATATGATAAAAGTGTCACTCCAAACTGTGGACTAGATCGAAATACGCGAGCACCAGATCCCTTCCAGAATGCCCGACCACCTTCTTCACGCCAAATTTTTCTAGCCGCATCAATTACTCCTGTATATGTTGTTTGACCTGTACGCGCTACAACCTAATAAAATATAGTGAATTATAGTTATAATGATAGAATTTAATCGTATATTACAACTTAAAAACATGATGATTTGTTAGTTTTTCTAAGATCTTCCTACCAGGATTTTATTGCAAAATTTTCTTCTGTACAACTGACATTTCATATTTAAACGGTGCCGAAATTAGACTAGATTGACAGACGTCCATTTAAACAGTACCAAGAGTGTTATTGTTTATTATAATAATGTAAGAGCAACCGTTTAAATATAGGGTCTTTTTGGTGACTAATCCAAAAGATTGATTACTAAGAGTGAAAGAAGGCATATAGACCTGCTAACCACCTAAAAATATTTCACATTTCGACCATGTAAAACATATGCTACACTTATGGGTGCTAATCACCAAGTGATTACACGGGGTTTTGACAATATTTAAGTGATTGGATGGAAACGCAGTACAATTTAACCTGGCCACAGTCGAACATTATCGCTTCACGTTAACAGATCTATACTATCCATGTGTACTCACTCCGAAGCTGTTTTCAGAAAGCAACTGATGATCACGCTCCTTTACATTTGTGCAGATCTTTCCTATGAATAGTTTCCCCGAAAAGACAAGAAACATATTTCTGAATAACGATTCAAAGGTAGATCTAATGTCTAATAATGCAGTTGTTATGTATTGAGGATCTGAACAACACTGTCCATGCTCCACTTGGTTTGATTCTGCATGTGTTTCCCACAATCTGGTATAATAAGACGGTGTTGGTTTTTAATTTATCTTACGAGTGCTATTTTTAAGTTAAATAAAAGCGAATTCAGTTCAATTTACTTTTTAAAACAAATTTAGTCAGTTTATTGATAAGAATGAGATCCCAGTTTTTGAAAAGTACTAAGAGTATAACGTTTTAGAGATTAAAAATTTTCACTTCATTAAGTTAAGTAATAAACATAGGTTCGGTTTATACCTTTTGATTTAATTTGTTGCTTGTTCGTTCCTTTTTTGTATGTTAAATTATACTTATCATTAATATCATTTGAAGGACTAAATATTTAGAAGCAATAGGGACGAGGCTGTGAGTGCTTGAAATCAACTTGTTTTCTTTTATAGATAGTTTGTTAACTTTAATTTTGATGTACACTAACATGAAAATTGTCAGAGAAATCAAATGGTTACATGTGATTAGGTCAGAATGTCAATTTAACAATATCTCATTCAAATCAATACAGTGGATATGAATTGAATACATTTCACAATATAATTCATAATAACTGAATAATCAATGATTACATATAATAAGCAACTCAGTAGGTAACAAACGTGATCAAAAGGTAGGTGAAGTACATAATTAGTACCTGTAATCTTGTCTTGATTACATCTGCTGGTGTGGCTAGAAATGCTGCAGGAACTCCAGAAATTGTTGCAGCCAGTAATAAGCTTGTTGATGAATTACAACCATTTTCATTTG